AGGAGGGACGACGACGAGACGCCGACGACGGACGACGACGACGACGAGGGAGGAGGAGGAAGGACGACCACGGCGACGACGACGACGTAAACGACCACGACGCCAAAAAGGACGACGACGACGAACACGAGGAAAGACAAAGGACGACGTAGGCGACGACGACGACGACGACGCGGGAGGAGGGAGGACGGCGACGACGACGACGACGACGACGCAAGAGCGCGCGCGCACGCTTTTGTTGAAAATCCGTGTTGCGAAACCTTGTGTTTTTGTAGGTTTTTTGGACACACGATGTTGAAATCCTTCCGAAACCGATGGGTTTTGAAGGTTTTCGGCATACGCCCGCGACGACGCGCGCGTCTGCACTTCGTCCCATTTTTTGCAGAGGATTCTCGCGACGGCACACGCGCAAGGGCGTTCGACAGATTTCGACATGCGCGCGCGCGACGCCCGTTTGGTAGCATTTTGTGAAAATCTTGGAAAACCCGATTGTTTTCTTAAGATTTCGCAAGAGCTCGCGCGGAAGCTTTTTTAGCAAATCAGTGTTGCGAAACCATGTGTTTTTGTATGCTTTTTGGAAACTCGATTGCAAAATCTTTCCGGCATCGAGGGTTTTTGAAGGATTTCGGCATGCGCGCGCGACGACGCGTGCGTGCACTTCGTCCTATTTTTTGCAAGGGATTCGTGAAAAAGTGCGATGTTAGAACAAAAAGTGTCACCGCATAGTGTTTTTTACAAGGGACCCTCAGGGGGGGGATGCCGGTTGGCAGTTGACATTGTGATTTCATATTTAGGATGGACATGTGGTCAGAATCATACATGATTCACATACCCCGAAAGGGGGACCGATAACGCCGGGGGGGGGTAGAGTCCATTCTGTTTTTAGAAAGGAGAATGAATTTCTGTTCGCAGTGAGTTGTCCACTCCACTGCTCGCGCAAACATCCCACTCACCAACCCGCAACTTGGCCTGCAAAATCTCTCAAGACCGTGACGGTGGTTACCAAATGGCACTTGGCAACGACAGCGACGCCGACGACGACAGCGGCAACGACGACGACGCCGCCGACAACGACTACGACGACACCGAAGGCGTCTTCAACGACTTCGACGACGCGGGCAACGACGATGACGATGCCGACGACACCGATGACGACGACGACGCCGACGCCGACGACGACGACGACGACGACGACGATGACAACGACGACAACGATGACGACGCCGACGACGACGACAACGACGACACCGACGACGACGACGACGACGACGACGTCAACGACGCCGACGACGACGACGACACCGACGACGACGACGACGACGACAACGACGACGGCGGCGACGACGACGACGCCGACGTCGACGACGACGAAGACGACGACGACGCCGACGCCGACGACGACGACGACGAAGACGACGACGTTGCCAACGAAGACGACGACGAGGGAGGAGGGAGGACGACGACGGCGACAACGACGACAACGACGACAACGACGAGGGAGGAGGGAGGACGGCGACGACGCGAACGACGAAGATGGAGGAAGGCCGGCGACGCCGACGACGACAACGAGGAGGGAGGAGGGAAGAAGACGACGAAGACGACGACAACGACAACGACGACGACGACGACGGCGACGAAATAGGAGGAACGACGACGAGACGCCGACGACGGACGACGAACCGACGACGATGGAGGAGGAGGAAGGACGACCACGGCGACAACGACGACGGAAACGACCACGACGCCAAAGAGGACGACGACGACGAACACGAGGAAAGACAGAGGACGACGTAGGCGACGACGACGACGACGACGCGGGAGGAGGGAGGACGGCGACGACGACGACGACGCAACAGCGCGCGCGCACGCTTTTGTTGAAAATCCGCGTTGCGAAACTTTGTGTTTTTGTATGTTCTTTGGACACACGATGTTGAAATCCTTCCGAAACCGATGGGCTTTGAAGGATTTCGGCATACGCCCGCGACGACGCGCGCGTCTGCATTAAGTCCCATTTTTTGCAGAGGATTCTCGCGACGGCACACGCGCAAGGGCGTTCGACAGATTTCGACATGCGCGCGCGCTACGCCCGTTTGGTAGCATTGTGTGAAAATCTTAAACAAAACCCGATGGTTTTCTTAAGATTTCGCAAGAGCTCGCGCGGAAGCTTTTTTAGCAAATCAGTGTTGCGAAACCATGTGCTTTTGTACGCTTTTTGGAAACTCGATTGCGAAATCCTTCCGACACCGAAGGTTTTTGGAGGATTTCGGCATGCGCGCGCGACGGCGCGCGCGTGCGCACTTCGTCCCATTATTTGCAAGGGATTCGTGGAAAAGTGTTATGTTAGAACGAAAGATGCCCCCGCGCATCGTTTTTTAAAACAAAAAAAGGAACCTCAGGGGGGGCGGGGCGGTACTGGTTGCCCTGGGATATTGTAAAGTCATAGTTAGGATGGACAGGTGGTCAGAATCATAAATGATTTACATACCCGAAAGGGGGGCGGATAACGCCAGGGAGGGGGGTAGAGTCTATTCTCTTTTTAGAAAGGAGAATTAACGTGGCGCAATCTATTTTGTGCAACACATGCGGTGCAATCTATGTGGTTCAATATGTGTGGTTCCGTATATGCGGTGCAGTCTATGCGGTGCAATCCACTTCGACTGTCTTGAAGCTGTCCTCTCCACTGCTCGTGCAAACATCCCACCCTCCCACCCGCAACTTGGTCGCATGACATCTTCAGACAAGACCGTGACGGTAGGTACTGCGTGGCACCTGGCCACGACACCGATGCCGACGACGACAGCGACATCGACGACGACGGCGCTGCCGACAGCGACTGCGACGACACCGACGACGTCTCCAATGTTTTCGACGACGACAACGACGACGACGACACCGACGACGACGACAACGACGCCGACGACGACGACGAAGACGACGACGACGTCGCCAACGGAGACGACGACGAGGGAGGAGAAAAAACGACGACGGCGACAACGACGACAACGACGATGGAGGAGGGAAGACGGCGACGACGCCAACGACGAAGAAGGAGGAAGGACGGCGACGCCGACGACGACAACGACGAGGGAGGAGGGAAGACGACGACGATGACAACGACGACGAAGACGACGACGACGGCGACGAAATAGGAGGGACGACGACGAGACGCCGACGACGGACGACGACGACGAGGGAGGAGGATAACGACGAGGGAGGAGTGAAGACACGACGACGACGACGACGACGACGACGGCGACGAAATAGGAGGGACAACGACGAGACGCCGACGAAGACAACGAGGGAGGAAGGACGACCACGGCGACAACGACGACGGAAACGACGACGACGCCAAAGACGACGAGGAAAGACAGAAGACGACGACGGCGACGACGACGACGACGACGACGAGGGAGGAGGGAGGACGACGACGACGACGACGACGCAAGAGCGCGCGCGCACAATTTTGTTGAAAACCCGTGTTGCGAAACCTTGTGTTTTTGTAGGTTTTTTGGACGCACGATTTCGAAATTCTTCCGAAACCGAAGGTTTTTGAAGGATTTCGGCATACGCCCGCGACGACGCGCGCGTCTGCACTTCGTCCCATTTTTTGCAGAGGATTCTCGCGACGGCACACGCGCAAGAGCGTTCGACAGATTTCGACATGCGCGCGCGCGAAGCCCGTTTGGTAGCATTTTGTGAAAATCTTGGAAAACCTATGGTTTTCTTAAGATTTCGCAAGAGCTCGCGCGTAAGTTGTTTTTTGAATCAGTGTTGCGAAACCATGTGTTTTTATATGTTTTTTGGAAATTCAATTTTGAAATCTCTCCGGAACCGAAGGTTTTTGAAGGATTTCGGCATGCGCGCGCCACGACGCGCGCGTGTGCACTTCGTCCCATTTTTTGCAAGGGATTCGTGAAAAAGTGCTATGTTAGAACAAAACATGTCACCGCATAGTGTGTTTTACAAGGGAACCGCAGGGGGGGGGAACCCGGCTTGGCTGGGATGGTACGAATTCATATTTAGGATGGACATGTGGTCAGAATCATATGTAATTTACAGCACGCGCGGGGTAACCGATAAGTCCGGGGGGGGGTAGAATCTATTAGTCTTTTAGAAAGGAGAATCATCAGGAGAGGCGAAATCCAGACAGAGTAAGTCCAGACGAAGACCGAGCTACCCGTATGGATCTACTCCGTATGGACTTAGCCTCTCCTGAAATGGATGCGAGGCAGCGACTGGGCGGCGACGAGGCGGAGACGGCGGCCACGTAGCCGCCAAACCAAATGCACAGCCCAGACGACGAGCGGCGACGAGGCGTAGACGGGGCGGCGACGGCGGCCACATAACCACCAGACCGAAGACACGGCCCAGCTCCTTGGAGCAGAAATAAGAACCCATAAATGCAAGCACTGGTTGGGGAACGCATACATATACGCATAAAGAGAGAGAGAGAGAAGGAAAAAAGAGGGAGCCTCAAAGAAAAAAGAGGCCATGCGGATACGTATGTATATACTCATATTCACAAAGAATGCGTAATCGAGAGATGGGGGGAAAGGGACAGGAAGAGAGAGAGAGAGAGAGAGAAAAAAAAAAAAAAAAAAAAAAAAAAAAAAAAAAAAAAAAAAAAAAAAAAAAAAAAAAAAAAAAAAAAAAAAAAAAAAAAAAAAACGAGAATGGTCATGAGAAGTACCATGCGAGTGTCCGTGAGACCGAGGAGGAGAACAAGGCTGATGCACCGAAAGCGAGGCCGACCCACGGGGAAGGGGTGGGTGGGGGGGGCAGAGAGCCTGGGAGACAGGGAGGGGCAGGCGGGGGGGGTGGGGGGAGGGGCGGACGGAGAGGAGCGCCGACGGGAGGGCTGTGTGGAGGAGACGGGGCAGCGGAGCGGGCGGGGCGGGGGAGGGCGCCCTGGGGCAGGGAGTCCCCCCCCCGCAACGCAAAGGGAGGGGCGGCTGCGGCGGCGGCGGGGCCCCCGAGGGGCGGGTCGGCGCCCCGAGGGCCTCTCGCGCTGGAGCTCCAGCCGCTCACGCTGGAGTTCCTGCTGGAGCTGCTGCAGCTGGGCCTCGCTCCCGCCGCGCGGCGGGGGCGAGCGCCGCCTGGCCTCCGTGTCCTCCCCCTCGCAGAATCCTCCTCCTCCTCCTCCTCCTCCTCCTCCTCCTCGCTCCTCGCTCCTCGTTCCTCGCTCCTCGCTCCTCGCTCCTCGCTCCTCGCTCCTCCTCCTCCTCCTCCTTTTCCCTCCTCTTCCTCCTCCTCCTCCTCCTCCTCCTCCTCCTCCTCGTCCTCGTCCTCCTCCACCACCAACCTCCTCGTCCTCATTCCTCGTCGTCCTCCTCCTCCTCCTCCTCCTCCTCCTCCTTCGCAGCCTTCGCAGCCAAAAGGTGCCCGTCTACACCATGCACAGTCAGAACCCTACCGTGCCCCTCCCCTCCCCCTACCCCATCCCCGCCTCCTTCCCCAAGGATGCAATGGCAATGTTGAAGCAAGCGAAGCACAAGTCAGAGCGCCGATTCACCCGATGGGTACCAGCTAACCGCTTCTTGCTCAATGGCCATCGCGTTGTCCTCGGGATGAGCTGGTCCCGGGAGGGCCCACGTCGCGAAAGAACACTTCGCCTCCCCTGACTACTCCTCTCCCATCCACATCGCGACGACGACGACGACCACCACCACCACCACGACGACGACGCCTATGACGACGACCACCACCACCACCACCACCACCACGACCACGACGACGACGACCACCACCACCACCACCACCACGACTACGCCCCGAGGCGCGGCGCCTCCGCGCTAGGCCGCTGCACGCCCCACGCATCCGCCGGCCTGCTGTAGGTAGGCGGGGGCGCCGCCGGCGCCCCGCGGGCGACCAGGCCGACCTCGGGCAAACTGAGGGCCCCCGCTGCGGGGCAGGCCGCCGCCGTCGTCGGTCGGCCGTCGTCGCCGTCGCCGCCGCCGCCAGCGGAACGGCTCGTTGCCCGCCGCCGCTGCCGCCGCCGCTGCCGCCGCCGCTGCCGCCGGGGGTCGCCGCCCAATTCCCTAATCGACGCGTCAGGGTCGGGGCGTTCTGTCCACCCCCGACACGTCACGACCACATCCCAGAAATGGTTTCGAGCACCCCGCGCAGTGTCGAAACCGCGTCGTACGAGTAGCGCCTCCCAGGGCCCCACTCGTGAAAAGCCTTCCAGCTTCGGCACTTTACTTTTGTGCTCGGAACTTCTTTCTCTGGGGATCAAGGCCGACCCGGCAGGAAGAGCGTGAGGTCTGGCGCGCGGGCAACCCAGCTAAGCGCCAAAGCATTTATCGCAGAGGCGGTTGCCAGAGTCTCCCCCGTCCCACTTTCCCCCAGCACGTCTCTCCCCATCCCCCCCTTCCCTCCTCCCTCCCTGCGGTTTTTCTTTATCTTGTCAGTTTTGTTGTTTCCTCTTATCTCTCTATTTCTCTCCCTTTTTCTCTTTGTTTTCTCTCTCTATCTCTCTCTCTCTCTCTCTCTTTCTCTCTCTCTTTCTCTCTCTCTCTCTCTCTCGCTCTTTCTTGTTTTGTTCTCTCTCTCTCTCTCTCTCTCTTTCGTTATCTCTTTGTCTCTTTGTTATCTCTCTCTCTCTTTCTCTCTCTCTCTCTCTGTCTCTCTCTCTCTCTCTCTTTCTCTCTCTCGCTCTCTCTCTCTCTCTCTCTCTATATATATACATATATGTACATACATACATACATACATACATGCATACATACATATGTGTGTGTCTCTCTCTCTATATTTCCTCTCTCTCTCTCTCTCTCTACATACATATACATACATACATACATACATGTATGCATACATACATTGTGTGTCATCTCTATAGTTATCTCTCTCTCTCTCTCTCTATATATGTTATATCTCTCTCTCTTTCTCTCTTTGTGGCTCATTATCCCTCTCAGTATTTCTCTCTCTCTCTCTGTCTCTCTCTCTCTCTCTCTCTCTCTGAATATCTCTCTCCCTTTGGCTTATCGTATTTATGTATATATATACATATATATATATATCAATGCACAGGGCAGTGTTTAATACTTGGGACTTTAAAACATATACAATGCTTAATACATGATTAAATTATGAATGAATGGATGCATGAACTCATCGTTGTTTTAGTACTATACCATTGCATTTTGTTAACACATGATTCGCACGCGGAGCATGTATTAAAAATGGCACTGCATATACATATATATATATAGACAGAGAGAGGAAGGAAAAACAAACAAACAAAAAACTCTGAACCACATCGGCATCGGCGACGGCTCGGGTCGAGTCCGAAAGACAATTCCTGACACATGACGTTGCTGTTGCTGGCTCGCCCCAGGAAATCCGGAATCTGTGTATACTTGTCTATGTATGGCGATATGAGTAATACTGACAATACGACTAGTCCGCCGATCCAGCGTGTGAGTTTCAAAGACCCTCGGAACAATCTGAGCCTCAATTCCTGAGCTTCAGCTTTACTGGGGGGTGGGGGGTGGGGTGGCTCTGCCAGGGTAAGGAAGAGGGGGGGCGATTTAGTTCCCGGGGCGGAATCGGAACTCCAGCTCACTCTGGGGCGGCCCCTTCGCCCAGGAGGGGCCCGAACATGGGCCAAGAGGGCCCCGAGTCGCCGAACGATCGCTACAAGACGCCCAATATGTCCCCAAGACGGCTTCAGAAGCCTCCAAGATGCCCTCAGGAAACAGCCTCTCGAAGAAAGCCCAAAGAAGCCACAAGTGTCCCATTCCCTTAGGAAAACCTAGCCACTTTTAGCGCACTCGCCTCTTGGGCCTTCAGAGCGTCGCAAACGCCGCAAGAGAGCCCCAAAACGGCCCAAGAAACCGCCAAGAGGATTCCAAGACGGACAACGAAAGGCCCAAGACGGCCCAGGAGTCCCCCGGAAAGGCCCAAAAGGGCCCCAGGACGGACCCAGGAGGCGCCTGAGAGGGCGCCAAGACGGCGGAATAAGTGCCGAAGACGGCCCAAGAAGCCCCCAGCAGGCCCCCACAGGCCCCCAAGAGGCCTGAAGAGGCCCCAAAACGCTTCCAACTGGCCCCGAGGAGGAGGCCCCCTGACACCCCCTGAAGGCCCCCGAGAGTTTCAAAAAAAAATGCCTTCTATAGACCTCCAAACTGCCTCCAAAACTCCCCCGAAAAGCCCAAAACCGGCCCCATTGTTTCAACGACGCGTACGTCTGAACACAAGCGTTGCAATACAAGACGTTCTTCCACGCTTCACAGATTATCCCGTCTTCGGCGCCCTTCACATCCACGATCTCACAAGGGCCCGCAGAGGACCGCGCCAAGGCCCCAGAGACCCCCAAAACACCATGTTCCCAGCAGAGACTGGCGACGCATAAGGCTCCACAAAAAAACTGCGACGCAGACAGCTCCAGCACAAAGTTGTCCAGAGAATGCGCCAAATCGGCGAGGTGTCAACCCAAAGAAGGCCAACAACTGGCCCCAAGGAGGCTTTCCAACAACCGCCGAACATCTCCAACAACCGCCGACAATCTCCTCATCCTCCTCATGTTCCTCCTTCTCACCCTCCCCATATTCCACTTCCCGTTTCCTCCTGCTCTTCCTCATCCTCCGCATCCTGCTACTCGTGCCCCTCCCCCATCCACCCCCTCCACCTCCTTCTCCTCCTCCTCATCATCATCCTCATCATCATCACCATCTTCATGCTAATCTTATTCCGTCGCCTCCATTCCCAATCCTCATTCTCCTCACCGCTCGCCGTCGTCACCGGTCATGACCTCCATCGCGCGTTTCCGGCAGCAACGGAAGCGTCCCGGATCAGCGGCACTGGCCGTAGGCCACTAGATGCGAGTAATGATGACGATGATACAAACAATCGTAATAATGCTATTGAGTGCAGTCATGATATAGTTGTAGTAGTAGTAGCAGTAGCAGTAGTAGCAGTAGTAGTAGTAAAAGTAAAAGTAGTAGTAGTGGTAGTAGTAGTAGTCGTAGTCGTAGTAGTAGTAGTAGTAGTAGCAGTAGTAGTAGTAGTCGTAGTAGTAGTAGTACTAGTAGTAGTAGTGGTAGTAGTAATAGTGGTAGTAATAGTAATAGTGGTCTTAGTAGAACTAGTAGTAGTAGCCGTAGTCGTAGTAGTAGTAGTAGTAGTCGTCGTAGTAGTAGTAGTAGTAGTAGTAGTAGTATAGTAGTAATAGTAGTAGCAGCAGTAGTAGTAGTAGTGGTGATGGTAGTAACAGTGGTAGTACTACTTTGTAGTAGTAGTAGTAATAGTAGTAGTAGTACTCGTCGTTGTCGTCGAAGTAGTAGTAGTAGTAGTAGTAGTGGTAGTAGTAGTACTACTAGTAGTAGTAGCGGTAGTAGTAGTAGTGGTTGTCGTAGTAGCAGTAGTAAAAGTAATAGAAGTAGTAGAAGTAGTAGTAGCGGTAATAGTAGTAGTAGCAATACTACGAATGATAAAGGATACGAATAGCAATAAGAAGAAAAAACATAATAATAATACTTTTAAGAGGAAAGGGAAGAAGAGGAATAATGATACTCATGGCAGTAACAATAAGAATAGGCTTCAGCAAGCAAATTGCCTCTCTCCTTCCATCCTCCCCCTGCCCCCCGCCCCTGGCAAGATTCCCCATAGCCCCCGCAGGTGGGGTCCTCCCCCTATCCATCTCCCCTGTTCGTCCCATTCATCCCTTCCCTTTTCCCCCGTGTCCTCCACCAGCAAAAGGGGTGAGGAGGAACAGGTGACAGGAAGTTCCCAGAAGTTCCCACAAGCCTCCGAGGTATTCCAGCAGCTTCTGGCAACCTCTAGAAGCAACAAACGAAAACTCGGTTCTCGACACTCGGGTTTGCAATGTGCTCCCTCCCCCCTTTCCTGCCCCCTCCTCCTCTTACTCCGTCCCGCCCCTCCCTTTCATATTTCCCCATGCTCGCCTCCGTTTGCTCCTCCTCCCTCTCTCCTCTGCCTGCTCCCGTTCCCCCTCCATTCCGTCTCCGTACGACTAACTCTTACCTGTCACATCCCCAGGCGGGCTTGGCGTTTCGCCTGAGACTTCCTCGCCATCTGCGACCTTGGAGCTTGAAATCTGCAACAGCTTCGTGGATGGACGGGGTCGGTTCCAAAACGTGGTTCTCGCCTCAGCGCCGCGCACATTCGTCTCAAAAGGTTTGCAGTATTCTCACATCTGGAGGGGAGATGGTTTTCAAAATGGGGCTCTCGCACGAGCGCCGCGCACATTGGTTCTAAAGCTTGCAACAGGTTCACGGATGACACGCGAGTGGTTTCCAAATTCGGGGTCTCACATCAGCGCGGCGCAAAGTATCATTAAAGAGCGGCTCAGCTGCACGGATGGAGGAGGATGGTGTGCTCGAAATGTGGCTCTCGCCTTTAGCGCCGCGCACACATGTCCCAAAAGTGTGCAACGGCCTCACGGATGGAGGTGGCTTATGTTCAGAACGGTGTCCTCGTCGCATCATTGCGCGCAGTCGTTTGCGATGCAACGTTTAGCAGAACGAAGGACTGCTCGCCTTCACAACAAAGTGCTCGCCTGAAAGACGTTGTTGAACACAAGGGCGCAACTCGGACGCCGCAGGTATGGTACTGCACGGGGCCATGGCCGCCCTGCCTCAAGCTGGGACGGTCGTCGGAACGTTCCTCGGAGATCACGACGGCAATGGGCAACCTGTGCAACCATTACACGGATGCGGGGTCTTTCTCTTCGGCAGGGGGATGTCGCTGGACACCTCTCTGAACAATATGATCCTTTGTTTTCCGCGTTCCCAGCTGCGCGTCAGAAAGATGCGAGGTAGTCCCTGTTCAAAGCGGTGCTCTCGCCAAAATGGCAGGCACAACTGGGTTGGTCTGTCGAGGAGGGGATTATTGTGGTGAGGAGGATGACGTGTAGGCGCGCATGAGGTGGTGGCTTGGCACAGGAAGGTGTCTTGCAGCATCGCGAATGCATATTTGGCTTACTCTGGTTATCCTCCTCCTCCTCCTCACCATCATCACCACCATCAGCAGCATCATCATCATCAGCGTCATAAGCATCATCAGCATCATCAGCATCATCATCAACATCAGCATCATCATCAACATCAGCATCATCATCATCATCATCATCATCATCATCATCATCATCATAATCAGCATCATCATCAGCATCATCATCATCGTCATCAGCAGCATCATCATCGTCATCATCATCCGCAGCAGCAGCACCACCACCACCACCATCATCCTCATCCGCATCCGCATCATCATCATCAGCAGCATAATCATCAGTATCCAAATCATCAGCATCATAATTATCATCACCAGCATCATAACCATCGTCATCAACATCATCGTCAGCATCGTCAGCATCGTCATCAGTATCAGCATCAGCAGCAGCATCATCAGCATCAGCATCAGCAGCAGCATGATAATAATCATCATTACCACCACCACCACCCTCACCATCATCGGCATCATCATCGTCGTCATCATCAGCAGCAGCATCATCATCACCAGCATCATCATCAGCCTCACCATAATCAGCCTCATCATAATCATCCTCTGCATCATCATCATCATCATCAGCAGCAACAGCAGCAGCAGCAGCAGCATCATATAATCCTCATTGCCCATACCACCACCATCATCATCATCAGCATCATCGTCATCGTCAGCATCATCGGCATCATCATTATGGTCGTCGTCGTCGTCGTCACCACCACCAACACTACCACCACCGCCACCACCACCACCGCCTGCACAACCACTATCACCATCATCACCATCACTATCATCACCATCACCATCAGAAGTCCATAGCTCTGCCCTCGCGAGAGAAGGGCCCGTCCATCCCGGGCACCTCGGCGCTCAGCCGCTGCGGCCGCGAAGCCGCCTGCCCGGCCGCGCGCGGGGGAGGGGGAGGGGTTCCTCGCCGCCACAGGGCACTTGCGGGCATCCCCTTGCCTGCGAAGGGGGAGGAGGAGGAGGAGAAGGAGGAGGAGGAGGAGGAAAAGGAGGAGGAGGAGGAACAACAGAGGCAGAAACAAGCTGTGCCCCACGCAACAGTTCCCGACCGCGACGACGAACCGCGATGGCATGCCCATGATCAACAGGAGGAACAGCAGGATGAGCAAGAAGAGAAGGAAGGTAAGGATGACGATGCGGAAGAGCGAAGGAGGAGAAGGAGGACCCAGAATCGCCGCTTTGGCATCTCGTTGGGAGGCCTCTGAAGGGCTCTGGAGGCCTCGGGGAGCCATCTGGGGCATCCGGAGACCTCTGGGGGAGCACGGGGACCCCC